CAGATCCAGTCCATTGAAGAATCAATACTATGATTCAACGTTTTTGTAACTGAGTTAGATGCTACTAACCGCAACAAACGTGACTTGACTGCCGGCGTCACACTTTCAGTGTCCGAGCACGAGCTACCAGGACCTCTCCTCAATCCCAAGTTATTTGTGTCTCAACCATCGATTCGTTCGAATCACGGTTAGATGAAGGAATAATTAACTGTCCAACACCAGTGAGTGAACGTGATATTTGGTTACTTAGAGAACGAGTTTGTGAGCGAACAACTGTTTTCGGATATTCCTGGTCTTGCTCTTACATATCATACAGTGGAGAAAATTCTTACATAGTGATAGCCATTGGCTCAATTTAAGGTTATTAATCGGAGGCCAAGAGTAATGGATGTGAAGGCGTGTGTGTAAGAATGTTTAGCGTGTTGGTTGACGTGACCTTTTCCCACTTGGTTATTTCATTGTTTTATTTACACTACCATCCAAACTCATTGTGCAAAGATGCTATGGAANGCTATGGAATTCAGCGAGGTATAGCTATGTAATTCGGCCATTAGAATGTGATTTGAATAATTGTTATGAACAGAAAAAAATTTCGTAGTTTTCGAGTATCGTAAACGGAGTTTGATGACATTGTTTTGAATGGTGGTATTCTATTCGGTACACCTAGACTAAGAAATAGGATAAAGCTAGTACGCACCTATCGATAACGATCAATATGACCTATCATAAGGCCAAAAAGAAGCACGGAGAATCTTACCTTGCTATCAATGGCAGCCAGTTCTTGGTTCGCATGCGTGTTGGACAAATAGTTGTGCACCATGGTTTTGTAAACATCCTCCTACGAATCACAATATTCCACAGCGTTCAAGGCAATCGGCGGATGTAGGTAGATGGGGAACGGTAAAACAAGGCAGTATGTGTGACGTTGTCTTCACAAACACAACTAGCACACAAAATCAAACAGAGGGCATGCTCTTAACAATTATCTACCCGCATGTGTAAACTATAGGCCAGATGGTCAGTCATATGATCACAAAGACTTGACCAAGCGTGCCGAAAAAAGAGAACGCACAGGTTGAAACAAGTTTACGGAAAAAATGTAATCAATGGTGACTGTGTTATCTAAACTCTATACTTGTGTGTAGCCGGCCCGGTAAATGAACTAGGGTAAGCACTTAAGCGAGCAAATTGTTATACGCCTCAAGATAAATAAATGTTCTTTGAAATAGATGTAATTTCAGACGCTGACACGAGGTCATTTTAAATAAGGGAGTGTCTGACGATAGAACAAAAGCGGTCGATTGAAGAAGTGGAAAACAAAGCGGAAACCTCTTTTTGTGCCAAGAGAAAAAATTGAATGTCATAGAGTATAAAACAATAGAAAATAAAATGACCGTAAAAAAAACTGATTTAGACCCTAGGTAACAGCAGAAAAGACATGCATTTCATTACTACACGATATCTGGCGAAGCACGAACAATGCTTAACATCCTTGTAATGTATTGTATCATATTTCATATTTTTATTTATTTCCATAGAAACACGAAAGCTTACACATAAGTTAGAGTTACCCATTACAAAAGATATGAACAAACAAACTGTCAAATTACAGTTCAAGTATGAGGCAAAATTCATTTGATATCTTCCCGCTATTAGTGAGGATGCATGCTTTTTAAGTGAAGTCCCAATCGCTTTATTCATCCCAATGGATGGATTCTCAGCTTCTTGCATTCCAGGGTCATTTATCATCGCATACAGCCACAAAAACCATGAAAAAACCGCATCGTAAATTCAAAGGAATGTGGCGTAAAAATTTGAAAACGGATATCAAAAAGCTTTCTCTAGCAGATGCCTTTTGAGTCAGAAATCTCGAAAGATATGGGATAACGGACAGTGGTACGAGCATACACAAGTTTATAACGACATCTGGTTACAGAACTGGATAAGTATTGCTTAATTTCTGTATGTAATTGGTGAGTGATGTCCGATAGAATATTGCTGCAGAAGTTTTCGCAAGAAGTAAAATGTTTGTCGGCTAAAAAGTTAAGCAAGTGCAAATGGGGAACACCGCTTGTGCGAGAAATAATTTTAATAGACCGGCGTAAAATTGTTTAATCTTGAACTCCAAGATCGGCAAATAAAACCTGGGGGGGGGCAGTAGAGAAGATGAGTAAGAACACAAGAATATACGAATCAGGTAAGTAAATACAGTGGAACTTTCAAAGAAACACAATCGTCGAATCTTTTTAAAAGTAGAGTCTAAATGTGAAGTTCAGGTGAGATCTTGGGAGAAAGGGACATCGAGATATTGCAGAGAATGTACTGGGGGAACAGGCTGGTTGTCAGCATAGAGTACAGATATGTGAGATGGGATGCACCGGAATTAAGAACACGTGAATGAATTCGAACAACGGTATAGTATGTCAGTATGAAGAAAACGAGAAAGGTCTGAAAGAAGCTTTGCCGCTAAGTTGATACCAGAATCCATGTAGTGATCAGAAACCTTTCGAATCCAATCGGGAAAAGACGACTATCATTTGCTAAACCAAGGTCAAAACGTTTGATGTGAACTGGTAACATAAGAGATAATGAAGAAGATTAAAAAAACACAATGGTAGATAGTAACTGAAATTTGACAGCGCTTAATAAGGGTATTGGATGTTTGTACGCTTTCAGATGTTATTTTGAAGATTAAGTTTCAGGTTCAGTTTGTACAACCATTAACCATGCACTATCGTGCACCGGTTTTCGTTGCTATCTTTCGGTAGCCCATTCGGATGAACATTACGAGAAAGACCGGAAAGGTTGAAAGTAGGAGTGAAGAGAAAATTTAAAAGTTCAGTGGATTAAGGATACAAAGAAATTAGATGCACGAACGCCACTGTTTACGACACCCAGCCATATCACTCAGTGTCTCTAACCATCAGTGACCGTCATCCCGAGGTCTCTATCCAGGGAGCCTAACGAGACCTAAGTGACCCAGTGTCCTGGTTAGGGTTTACATATCCTCATGCCAGGTCTTAGCTTGCACACCCTGGGCTTTATTCCACTCACTACCTGCCTCGGTAAACATTGCTCGCCATGGCAACCTATTTGGTGACATGCATTGGAAAGTCCAAGAATAGCTTTATAACACACTAGTGAACTTTCTCATGAGAACTTTGTGGTATGAATCCCGACAGAAATGCAATTGAGTGCTATAGCTATTTTTAGTGTTTACGTACAGCAGTAATGCATCGGTTCTCCCCACTTTTGAGTCAAACACCAAATGACATTCCAAACAGGAAATTTTCTATTTATTAAGCGGCACTACACAACGGGATGCTCTTCGTGGCCTTTCTATCTAAGAAATCAGAAAGGTGACATAAATATGTACACTCCTGTGTGAATTTATAATGTAGGGTCATGGTGACATCTCTTGTATATATGACATGCATAGTGCACCTCGTTTGGCTATTCGGGATATTGTGAAAACCTTCGGGTAGAATGAAAGTCGACTACCTAAACCACTTGTGTGGGGCTCTTCATAGATTAGTCCTGGACTCGCACGTCCCTCAACGACAGCTCCACGACCACGATCGTCTGCTGTCGTTTATCTTAGTTTTGTAATCTATTTCATCCTTCTGTTGCACTTTATTTAATTCGCAATTTGCGTACATCACTCGTGGTGTTACTATCCGTTGTCTCCCGACAGCCGCTGATTAGCTACGGCGCTCCTCGCGAAAATTGAGGACATGTTTGTATATTAAATGAAAAGGAATCAAAAACGATATATATA